TTTTGTGCTAAATTAGACAATTTATAAATACAAATGTATAAGTGAGTATGTTAATATTTATTTTACTATTTTCTTACTATTACTTTTTATTTTACTATATTGTTCAAATTAAATTCATTATTATAGAAAAATATGAGGAAGGCAAATAATTCTGTGTGAAGCGAAAATCGTATTCATTACAAAAGGAAGAAGTAAACACAAGTGAGATCTATTCTTGGAATAGTACTTGCCTAAAGTATTGGATAATAAAAAACTGTTTTCCTAGAACTAGCTGCTTTGTTAGTAAGGCATTTATAGTTATTGTTTTGGCTTGAATCCTCACTCACCGTTCAATTCTTCAGTATCTCTTCTGATTTTAAATTGATTTATAGAAATTTCATTATAAAAAAATAATTGATAATGCTGAAAGAAAAATCTAGTCTCTCGTCAAAAATTAAAATATGGAAATAAAAATACCCTGATTTCCAAGGTGAGGACAAAGAATTTGATGATAAAGTTCTTGACATCTTATGAAAAATCAACCAGCTGATAGGAAATCACTGATAGACGCTCATTGTGGAACATGTAATTAAAAAATATTCCTATCAAAGCATTAAATATCTTTTTTTTTTTCTGAGGAGTTTGAGAACATAATCCTCCAAAATATTTTTTTTAGTGATAAAGGAAAACAGCTTCAACACTAATTTTTGAACATTTGAAAATCTCAAATATTACAGTCTATTACAATTTTTTTTTTTAAATTCTTTAAATTTTGACAAAAGCGTTTTGGAATGTATAATATTGGAAATTTCAATCCTATTAAAAAATAAAATTTTCGTTATTATTTTTAATAAAAGTTAAATATCCAAAATTGGTCTTGTCTATATAATATATAGATACCTATAATTCCTGCCTTCATTTATTCCTTCAAATCTTCAATGTTCTGCATTATTTGATAATAATCGTTATTATAATTATATTGTAATCTGAAATTTTACATTCAATGAAACATTTCAATTTTTTTTCTAAAAAGCTCGGTTAACTGAAGATCTGATAAGATGTAGATGTATTAATGTTATAAATTAAATAATATTGATGATTTTACATGTTTTTAGATGTTAATTACACAATTTTACATATTTTGGATTTTTACTGCACGATTTTGCACATTTTGAGTTTTTTACAGCACAACAATCCGGTCTCTAGTCATGATCTTAGCAATAACATGTACTAACATATTTTTACAAATATAGATGCTTAAAATCTAATTTAATTTAAATTAATCTTCTTTATAACTGATATCACAAGTTTTATAAAGGGAATAATCATTTATAATGTTACAATCACTATTAAGTTTAATGTTTTATAGAAGATTTAAGTAAAACATCAGTTTTAACTATGATGATTGATTTTGGCCATGTTAGAAAGTATTAATCATTGAAAAGCTGCCAATGTAAGATATATGGATCCTATTTGTGAAAATTCAAGTATTAAACTTACATGAAAATTAAATCAGTTTTAACTTAAATATAGGAGACAATTAAATCAAATATCCACAGCTTAAATTAAGTTTTTAATTTTTAAATTTAAATGATTAGATTAAGCATCATCATCATCATTAAGCATAAGAAATAATTATATTAAGAATAATCAAAATAATAACATAAACAGTAGCACAAAAATTAAATATTCAAGATATTATTTGTAAAATTAACAAATTTTAATATTTTTAGGTATATAGTTATTGGAACAATTAAAAACAACTTGTTGCTATAATGACATAATATAAAAAAAATTATACAAATCATTGTATAATCTGTTCTCGATGCAAGAGGGTCCAGGCAAAAAGAATTGAAGAAGCAATTGCTTTTGTGCAAGGCTGAGAACCAGCCAGTTATTAACACTCCATAACAAACTGGGCTTATTTTTTGTCCAGGAGGTAGTGTATGGATTAGTGGTAGGGTTTTGGATGAATACATAAGCGTTTTTCCATGCAAATAAGGACAAATATTCCTGGGCCCCGGTCAACACAAAATTCAGCAGTGAAACCCGACCTCGTCTTTTCAAAATATATGCATACAAAAGATTATGTAATGATATTACATAATTATTAACACCACTAGGGCTTCAAGATAAGGGAATGGATTCTCCTGCCTGTTGTTCAACTTTGCTTTCAGGAAGGTAATAAGAGATTAATACAATTCTGACTAAATTGACTGAAATACTAGCCTAAGGAGATAACATAGATATTGCAATAAATACAAAGAGGGATTTGGAGCAGGCCTTCCTTGCTTAAGAAAATGATGAGCAATGTATGAGACTTGATATATATCAATAACAGTCTGAAGCTCGATAACCCTCCAAGGCAACCAGAACTCACCTTCACATTTGATGCCAACAGTTTTGTGTACCTTAGTTCAATGGTCGAAGCAGAAAACACAACCAGCACAGAAGGACAGAACTGTTCGCACCATTTGTTATTTTGTCGGCAAAAATATTTGAAGCTGTCTGTTATCAAGAAAAACTAAGACTACACTTTACAAACTGCTTGCAAGGCCTATTACAACATACATATCAGTACAGGTCAAACACTAACAGTTTACTGCTCTTCAAAAGAAAAGTATGGAGAATGATTGTAAGTGGTAAGAGTTGGTGATAAATTCAGACAAAGGTATAAGGCAGAGTTGTACATTTTACTACAAGTCATATATCGTGCAGCAATAATTTCAAGCAATGTGAATGATAAAAAATGTGGACAACCACAACTAAAACGGGTAGATGAGCTCGAGAGGGATACAGATGGTATTGTTAGATTGAGGGATTGGCAAATCCAGGTAGAGAAGAGTAGAAGTAAAGCCTTGATGCGGCCAAAACCTGCAATGCGGAGAGCGGGGGGGGCCAAATAGACTACTTATGCACTAAATAGATGCACAGCACCACCGTTGCCCGACAATCTGATACATAGATAACCAGATAAAAAATAGTCATGAGTTCGTGTCCCGGTGGCGGGAGAGTCTTTTAAATACCGCCCTCACCCCTGGCCCAGAAAAACCTCGTATAGCCTTAAAGGCGAGGAAGGGGAGGGCCAAAAAAAGAGTAGTAAAAGTAGAGCGATGCACTCTGGTGTGAGGGGAAGATGAGGATGGCTGCCGCTAAAACTCTAGTCATTCTCTTTAAGAGCAAGACTGATAGGGCATACCCTATTGCCATGAATATAGAAAGACAGAGGATATGTCCAAGTGAGGTGGTAACCTACCTAGGAGTTAGATAAGGTTTAGGCCTAAATATAACGCCTCACTTAGAATATCTGGCAAGTAGGGTGGCCCTAGCAATGAATACTTGTGTGGGGGGTGTAATCTTAGTCCTTAGATATCCAGCCCCAATCACGATTTTAAAAGGTGTTTTGAAGGGTATCCTGAGGTATGCGTCTATCTTCTGGTTCTGGAACGTCACATTATGACAGAAAAATAGGCTAGCATCGACTCAGAGGACAGTCTTGCTTCGGGTCACCAGGGTAGCCAACTTCGCGTGAAGTGGTGCAAGTTCTAGTGGTAGTGGTGCCTTTCGGCTTCCTCTTACAAGAAGTGACAAAATATGTATATAAGAGAGAAGGCTCTATAGTACTTTTGGACAATCTGCAAGTGAGGATATGTCAAAGCCGCGGGAATCTATATCCTCACAGAAAATGAGTTTCCTCAGTTAGTCAGTGAGGAAAGTTACCTGCGATTCAAGGAATTTATAAATGGGTGGAGGACGGTGATGCACCACTTCACTTCCGTATTGGTGCCCGCAGAAGAGAACAACTTTCGGGATGATCTCCGGATCCTTTAAACATAAGCACCTAGCATGAAGTCAACAATAAAGAAGGAAGAATTAGAAAAGAACTAGCTGTGTGCACTGCCTTGTCTATGTTATACTAGCAGTAGTGTTTTTAAGCATGCATGCCTAATAACAGACTATTGCAAAAACCTGTATTGCCATATTGTCATGGCAAGGTGTAATAAATTATAATGATAAATATTTTATGATTACATAAAAAGGCTTTTTTTTATGTACAAACAGAAATTTAAATTTTAATCTCACTGATTAGTTGAGTCCAAAATTGTTAGAATTTGAATTGTGCCCAGCCGACTATTTACTAATTTGTCTTCATTAAAATTCCTAAACATATATCAAGGTCTGTAATAATATTTAAATATCTTTTTATTAAATTTTAAGTAAGAAATAAAATTACCTCACAAGTGATGGTATTATTAACAGATTTTCCAATCTTATTGATGTAATCAACATTTTCAATTAGAGATTTATTCAATCTTTCTGAACAAACCCTCAAACTAAGGTTTCTATCACAAAGTAGTTCTGCTGTGGTATTAAAGGGAATACTAGGTATCCACTGAATTATGAAACCTGATATTATATGAAGAATCAATATAACAATGAAAATAGCTCTATGACATCTAAATTTATCTGCAATTGTACCACATATGGGTCTCACAAAGATTACTGTTATTGGATATGCAGTATAAATCAATCCAACTGATATAGATGAATATCCTAAATTTTTTAACATTAGGGGCAAGAAAGGAAAAATAGGAGCACTTCCTGAAACAAAAAATTAAAGCAGAGAAACTGAAATAGAAGCACTTAAAGAAAAATAAGCACTGATATTAATAACACAACAAAATCATATAATTAAAGTATATATTTTAGAGCATAAAATTTTACACCATCATCAAATTTTAACCATTTGAAAAAATAGAAATATTTTTATGAAAAATATAAGTGCAAATGATTAATATAAATGTTAAACATAAAAAATAACAACATTATGATGGTTTGAAATTACTGAATTAATAACAACCTGCCATGAACATGAAATAGTGAGCTTTCATTGGAAATAATTCCTTATTAAATTTCATTTTGACACCTAGAATGGAAAAAATAAAAAAATATTTATATTAAAATAATGGGCAATATCTTTTATAAGGATGTCGTAAAATTAAATATTTAAAAAATCATACCAGAATTTATAAATAATAAGTAGAAAAATGTATGCCAAAATTCAAAGAGGATTTGCTTTAAATAGAATCAGAATACTGAATGTCTAATGAAATGCAACAATTTATCTAAGACAAAGTCCTTTATCTCCGTTTGTTCAAATCAAATCTACAAATACACACTATTCTACAAATATTACAAAATAACTTGTTAGGGAAACAAAAAAAAAAAAAAACTAGAACAATGACGTAAATTAGATGATAAAAATGGGTAAAAGAAAATTGATATATTAAGTAATAATGTTTGTATTTTCAAAAATACAAGAATAACAAAAATACTGCTTTATTATATAAATAAAATTGCAAAATAAATTATTTCTTCTACATATTAAACATGGAACATGGATGCATACATAAAAAGGCACCGCATTACATATATCTAATGAATAATATTATTTTATAATCTAATAAAATAAAACATGAACCTCATTTACAATAAAGAAATCCAGGAATGTCATGGATACAACAAAAAACTCAAATGAGATATACATTTCACTAAAAATTGAAAATAACAAGCTTTTGCCATTTTAAAGTAAAAGAAATATTAAGTAAATTATAAAAAATAAGCATACAAAATTTACTATCAGAAGAATCAACCTCAACCATTATTTTATAATATAAGAATTAGCATAAATTCTGAAGTATAAAAATAACAAGAACAAAATTGTTTATAAATAAGTCACAATGTTTTAAGTAAATCTACTTACAATATTTTATATTGTCAGCATTAGGAAAGGCAGTTCAATGAATAATTAGAGATCACACTTCCTTTTAAAACCTAAAACTAGAACTACCTTACCCAATCTAAAACAAGGGAATACTCAGAAAGGCAAGAATACAGGCAAAAGAAAGAAAATTACCATCTGGTTGTTGAGTAATTGAATCTCACTTCTATTCAATAGAACGTTCATTCAATTCAAACCTTTTCCATCGTTGATACGTTTCTTTCATTTTTTACTTCAATAAAATGAATTAAATATTTTATTCTGTACCTTTAGAATAACCCTTAATGGTATATATATACAAAATTGATTCAAAATTAAAATTATAATATAAGTATTTTAACTCCATATTTATCCTGGAAATCGGCTTATCATCATGACTAGCATCTAAATATTTTTTCTATATTTAAAAGTTTCAACATTACTTGGACAGAAAATGTACTACATAAAATTAACTTTTTGGAATTTAACGAGGAGATAAGTCTTGAAGGGTGTCCTCAAGCATGTGAATCGCATCATTGGGACTTGCATACCGTGCATGCTTAAAATCTAAAAAAAAAAAAAAAGATTATTATTATTCAAGGTTAAAAGCAATATTAAAATCAATAACACACTTTTCTTGTGACAAAACGTTCAAAAATTAAAATATAAAGTGTAAGTCTATTAATTAAAATCTCAGATGAAGCAAGTTAGCTGTAAAATAAAAACTATGACAAATTTGGTGATTTTCTTTTTTATTAAATATATATCGTTTCTATTAGTACAGAAGGTTATATGTGCAACAATTTTACAGATTTATTCTCTTTGCGCTAAAGGTGACACTTTATAGTCTGTAACTGCTATAAATAGTCTGCTAAATAGAAAAACAGGGAAATAAAGTACGAAATTATACTAATAAATCATAATGAAATAATCTGTCAAAAAACTCAATTTTTAATCAGACCTTTTGTACTAACAGTAATGATATACCATTCATTTCAATTAGAAACAGTCATGTACAGCAACAAGTGATCAAGTATTGTTTAAATATAAATAACCTAGATAATAGAAGAATTTACTACACAATAGACATTAACTGATTTTATATAATTTGGTCATTTTTTGATATTGGGAACTTCCAATCTAATACAGATAAGAATCAGACTGGGGCATGCAACAAACTGCTAATTTTCCAGCAGAAGGTATTAAAATGCGTACGAAACTTTCGGAAAAAGATAACACACATTCTGTTTGTCTACTCATACTATGATCGATGGTGAAAATGATAATTAGGTGCGCATTATATAACCTTAAGTTTTTCCTCATTCTAGTTACTTAGTTAAAAACTTTTCAGTAATTAATTTATTCACACATTAGTGATATTTTCATCCATCTTAATTTTATTATCAATATACATAATGCAGGTATACACAAATATAAGTTTCCAAACTAACATCAAATCAACAAAACTAAACATCTTTGTCATTAAAACTTAAAATTTATTTATACACCAGCTCCATTAAAAAACAATGCTACATTAATTTTATATAGTAATGTAAAAATAAAAAAAATTAAAGGGAAACTAAGTCAACAAAGTTTCAACTGATAAAACAGATTTGTATGTTCAAGTTTTGCAATCCATTGAAGATTAACTCGATGTCCGGGCTAGCTTGACTGTACTACATGAAATTCTCAACAGGGCGTTCAGCCAAGACTTTAAAATTTAAAGCATTTTTACAGATAGTTTTTATCATGTATTATTTTTGATTTCATCAATTTATTTTTACATTTTATTCATTATTTAAACAAATAGTTCTGTTCCATAACGTACTGTTTAATTAAGACATAAAAATTAATTTACATAAAACAAAGCTGGATATTATAAATATACTTTTGATGGAACTAAATCAAGTCTGTATTTGTAAAATTATATCATATTTACTAATACCAATTTTAGCATTTTAAACCTTTTTTTTTGTGGGAGAGGGGAGAGATAAAAATTTTAGAAATGAAAAGTTACTTATTATTAAACATTCATATTTATACATGACTATGAAGCACTGAACCCTAACGTGTCCTGTTTCAACACTGATTCTGAGTTAGACCTGGCAGTGGCAGATAGCTATTTATCGTGTAATATCCGACAGAGATCAACTCTGGAATAGGGAGTTCTTCCTGGGGCTATCCTATCTTATGCAAAATGGATACTGATCTAAAAAGGGAGGAAAGAAATCTGACTGTTGAATATGATTCTGACCTAATTATTACCTAACATAATCAACCACTGATGTGTGTGCATAGCACCGTGTGTTGTCTGGCAACCTAATAACTGAAGGTATACAAGAAAAAATTATTTCGAGTTCGCGTTCCGGTGCTAAGGGGGCTTATAACTCTGGTATTAATCCCCCAACCTCACCTCCTGGTTGGAGGAAACACCGTATAGCCTAAAAGGCGAGGAAGGAGAGAACAAAAAAAAAGAAGTATTTAAGAGCGTTCAAAGGTAACAATGGTTAAGTTTTTTAATTTATTTGTTTTGTTATTAAATATTTATAAATAATATTTAAATGGTTTTAGAAATTAATGGTACTGAATAAACAATTAACACTGACGTTTAAACTAGAACTTAATAGTTCCATTTTCTGCAATTTCATTAATAATCATTAGATATAATGGAAAATTACTTATTTTTAAGATCAACATAATAGAAAAAAGTAGTCTTTCATAAACATAACAAACTGTTATATATTTAAAGAAGCAAGGTATTAGGTACTCTCTTTTATGAAGTAATTTTTTACACCATTGAAAAACATACTTATTTCAATTTTTTCAAGTGCAAATATGTATATTTAATAATAATTTTCAATAGAAAACAAAACAAGCAAAAAGGTAAATTATGATTAACAATACTATAATGACTACACTACAATAATTCAACTTGTACTTAAAAAACTAAGACATTGCATCTTTTGAGAACATGCACTACTATAACTATTTATTTGGAATGAATGGTGAATACTGTTATAAATTAGTAATACATGCACCTATCTGAGCTAATAATAAAATTACACTTTAGTCTTAACAAATTTTTACTACTCCTTGCTAAACTACTGAAAGTATATAAATAAATAATACAATAAACACTAAAAATACAGACAGATTCTTTAAACTAAGCAAGACATCAGCACAAAAATATTTCTTGACTTTAGAAAACCAGGATAGTGTACTAGAAATAGAAACTTGAAAATAACAGATACAGAGATATAATAACATAATGTCTACAATAATAATTAAACGATTTACTGTAACTTGGGACTACTTGGACCAAAACCAAAAAAGTGGGAATCTGATAAAACTAGCTGATGCTGTCTCCTGTTTTTTCTTTCTTTTATTTTTCTTCCCTTCTTCATCTTTTAGGCTACAGGTTTTTTCCTGGTCCAGGGGAGAAAGTGGGAAAATTATTTACAGAATTCAAACTCAAAATCTTCGGTTTATCAGATTGCTGCATATTTTACACACGCATCAATCCGCTCAGTCATCCCACCCTCTACCAGCTGTCGCCTGTTGCGAATTATATCAATCTTTTCATAAGAAACTAAGCAATAATTTACCATTATTTTTAAAACATTTTATTTTTCGGTCTCAATACTCTTCCTCATCCATCCTGGGACCTAGTAGTCCCAAGTTACAGTACTTAAAAATAGCTAAGAATCTAAAGCTACAACTACTACCACACAAATAATACATAGAGCACTCAGCAAAATGCATTCAGAATTTATAAAAAATTTCGAGGGCCTATTTACCTTAATGTTAGTAAATGTTAGTTTTAACATCACTACGAATCAACTTTTCTAAAAGGTTTTTCCTCCTCATTATCTTGACCTATGAATAAATATAATGCTTTAAATTAAACCACAAGACCTAAGAAACCAAAAGAAAAAAGTTTACACCTAACCAACTAAAAATGATGTTAATGGGTTGAAGTAATATCACAATAAACGAATAAACAATCCCATCGAACTATTATTTCCTATGGAATATGGTTGTCATAAATTGGGATTAGCACTTCTATTAACAAGAGCATGTTACCTAGCTATACAAGCAACAGAGGGGAACATTAATAAATATTCCATAAATCCACTTTAACATAAATCGTAACCATTTAGGCAGGATTAGACCCTATATTACTTTTAGCTAGATAATTTTGACGTACAACCACTGCAATTCTCAACTATTTAATACAATACAACTTAGAAGAACTATTTAAATAATTTTAAAAGAAACCATTGATATTAAAAAAGAAGAACCTAAATTAAGTAAACAATTTATTGTTTGTTAATTTGATCTTTAGGTTCTTATGTACTCCAATTAGGGCTGGAAGGATGAGTTACCCAACATGTCACCATATTATATTATAAGGGAGAAGATCAAGATTCATTCCATGGGTCAGCCAAGTAAACCAGTTATTAAATATATTCAAGGAATATTTACAGAAAGAATCTTTTCAGCCATTTATCACTTATCTCTTAAATCAAAGCTTGCAATATCTCTGTGCTTGATTTTCAAGAGTTGATATTCTGTTTTGGTCTATATAGAATCATTGTTCTGCTGGCTTTGAATGTGCATGTTACTATTCAACTTTGGTGATCAAGTTACTTGAGTGCAAAGCCGGTATTTGTCCATCCCAAGTTGAAAGAGTAGGACATCAACCAAAAGGGTAAATCAAATAACATAAAAGCTCTTCAGAGAGATGGCAAGTAATGATAAGGATGAGGAGAATCAAAGTAAGGTAGTAAGAAAAAACAATTGATTCAAAATTTATTGAAAAGACTAGAAATAGATTTATACTATTTAATTATATTTTAATAAATTGGCTTTATTTATTTTTTTTTTTTTTACCATTTTTCTTACTAAATTTTCTTTGGTTAGAAAAAATGTGAATTTGTTTGAACTACAAATCCTATCTATAAATATCTTCAAATTTATTTCTTGGTTTTTACGTTGTTTCATTACGTCTTCCCACCATTTCCCAACCAGATCAGTTATTTTTCCTATGTGTTTCCCCAGGTTTCAGTATCTACTTTTTTTTACCCCTGTTTTCTTCAAACTTCTTTTATGCCCATCATTTATCTATTCCCATTTGCAGAATTTAATAAAAAATAAAAAATCAGTAAACAAAAGTTATTCATAATATTGGCACATGTAGGCAAAAAAAAACTACAAATATATCATACACATCTAGATTGACAGCACAACTTTTAACAGAATATTTTTAAATTAAGTTCCGTCATTCAGTGACATATTATATAACATAATTTTATAATTTGATTAACTTAGAAATGGAAATGGATCCTCCTTTATATGGTCGATAAGGTCAGTTGTCAAAATTAATTTATTTAATTTAAGTAAAATGAATATGTTATAAACATACTATATTATTTTTACTTATTTATAGTATTTTCTATTTTTAATTAATTATAGTACTTTATAATTTTAATTAATTATAGTACTTCCTACTTTTTAAAGAGAGGGTCGTGGTGGTCAAGCTAGTTAAAGCACCTGTAAAAATTTTA